TTAGACATTACAATACCCCGCGAGGACGGCTTTATGTTGTCGAGACATAATGGATATTGTTATTAGGTATTTAGGAACACATATTTCAGTTCCCACTGAAAGACTCCCACTTTTTAGCAGAACATTAAGAAAAAATAATGGATGCAGAGTACGTTTATCGTGAATTAATCATGAGCCTTTGCAGACACCTACTTTTAATTAGCTACTCGGTCTGTCAATTTTTTTTTTATTTAAAAGGAAAAAGAGAAAAACACAAAACAAAACAAAGCAGTGTAAGGTTACACATAATACAGAACTACAAAAAAAAACATAACATTAAGAAATCACCTGTTAATAGATTACATATTATCATCTTGGAAATAGTTGCTCAAATCACAGTATCAAAGAATACAAAGTAGACATTCAAACAGAGAGACTGCAAACAGCTGTGTTCAAGGATCCAAAAACATTAATATAGTCAGCTATTTAACACCCCTAAACACACTTGCTGTTATATCCGTTAGAGCTCTTTTTTTTTTCCTCCCTCTCTTTTTTACAACAAAATTTACACATTTTGGATTTTATTACTCCTTAGTTCTTATTACTTTTTTTTGGGGGGGGAGAGAATAAAGTCAAATATGGCAAAACAAAGCTGTCAGTCAAAACCAATGTCAATTTTTTTTTAGCACCGTTCCAGCTGGATCGAAAGACTGTCAATCTCCAATGCAGAATAAATGGCAAAAAAAAAAATTACTTAAAACATTTCCCTGCTACATGTACAGTTGCTTTCCACATGGCTACAAGTAAAACTACTTAGCAGGTGCTAAAGGCTGGAAGACAGAGGTCGGGCTCCAGCATTATCAATGACTTTGGAGCCACAAATTGGTCTTGAAGGCACCTGAAAAGTTTGTTTCCCACACTAAGCAAAGGAACCTGGGCTCCCTTTAAAGGACAAATTATGGAAATCACAACAGCACGTGAATTTGCAAAGCCGCTCAGTGTCAATAGTGGGTACGAGCTATGGCTTTAGGCCTGCATGGAAAAGATGCTTCTTGCAAAATGACTGCCGGAAGCTTTGAATTTAACAGAAGACATAAACAAAACAAAAACTGAAAAGGTCATTGTGTTTTTGTGTGTTTTTGTCCTCTTTAGCTCTCATTCTAACCTAGACCCCAGTGACTATGGCAGGGAGAAGGAGACTAAGCTCTGCAGCGTGGAGAGCAGGCTTGCCCCCCTTTAGCCCTTCTGATGCTTGGGGTTTGCTGGTGCTACCAATGCATGGAGGTGGCATAGTACCTTCCCTCCCTTCCACCCATTCTGAGCCATAGTCTGACGATCAGAAAGGTCTCCAGGTCATGCCAGATTCTCTCCAGAGAGCAGAAGCCATCCTGGGAAAGGAAGACCTAGGGTACATTTGTAACCTCCTACTCCAAAGCTGTGTTTAGTTATTAAAGCCACCCTTAACAGGTTATATCTTATTGGATTTTATTATATGTGATAATATAAGCAAAAACTTTTACAGACAAGGAGATTATACAGAAACCATTGTTGATTTTCTGTTAGTTGGTTCTAAATACCCTGCAATAATGTCATTCTCTTGAATGGTTTTACATTGTCTGGATATGTTTGGTGCTACAGTATACGAAGTTATACTCAAAGATTTCAAGGAAAGAGACAGTATGGTAACTACTTTTATGTCAGGATATCTTGTGGTGAAACACTGTTTTGCTTAAATGGTTATGCTTTGACCTGCGCTGTTCTGTTGTTATACCCTCTTTTATCTCAATCTCCTTTTTTTTTATTATTGACCTTTTTATTTTTATCTTTTTAATTAAGGGAAAAATTAAAAAGTAGCAGGATACATTATAGTAACCTATTTTCATTTCCTACTAACTTGATTTGAAATCCTGTATTGCTCTCACCATCTTATTTTGACTGATTTTCCCCTATTCTGCTTAGCTTGATAATACCAAGTTCGAAAGTATAGGCAACAACTGTGAAGACAATAAGATTCATTATGATGCCCATTCTGGGTGACTATTATCTTCTTTTAAAGTCCTGTAATGTCTCCAATATTTTGGTTTTATTCTTTACTGTTTTGTTCAATTTTATTATAACTGATGATATAGGCAATTCTTCTTAAGATAGCAAGAGGCAGTATGGTAACCATTGTTGATCACCTTGTATTTTGTTTTTACATTATCTATTATGTCCGTCCTTTTGATTTGACTGACTCTGTTCTGATATGTCATATTTGGTTTTACTCTCTTCAAAAAAATTAATAAGAACTGTGGGAGTAATAAAATCCAAAATGTGTAATTGTCATTGTACAAAAGAAAAGAAAAGAAAAGAAAGTCCTCTAAAGGTTATAACTGCATATATGTTTAAGTGTATAAGATAGATAACCATATTACTGAATGTTGTTGGATCACTGAACAAAACTGATTGCAGTCTCACTGTTTGAAAGTCCACTTTATATGCTTTAATTTGGTAACTTGAACAACTATTTCTAGGATGAGAATGTGTAATCTATTAACTAGTGATTTCTTACTGTTTATCTTTTAAATTTTGTATTACTTGTACCCTTTTTTTTTCTTTTTCTCTTTAAATAAATTTTTTTTTTAAAAGCCACCCTTAAGCCTGAGTCTCTGGCTTATTTCACTTAGCATTGCTATGGTCTCAAGGTATAGCCATTTGCCTACAAGCGAGTCAAATTTTATCCTGTCATTCCAGCCTGACATGCCTGTAATCCCAGCACTAGGGAGGCTGAGGCAGGAGGATTATTGAGAGTTTGAGACCAGCCTGGGCTGCAAAGTGAGCTGACCAGCCTGAACTGCCTAGCAAGACCCTGTCTCCAAATGACCAAAAAAAAAAAAAAAAAAAAAAAAGTGAAATTTGTCCTTCTCTATGGAAGAGTGGCAATCCATTGTGTATAAACACCAAATTTGATTCATAAATTCATCTGCTGATGGCCAAAGAGGCGACTTCCAAGGTTTAGCTGTCATGAATTGTGCCGTTATTGGTGTGAATACACACGGACCACTCTTATATAAGTTCTTTAACTCCTTGGGGGGAAATATGCGGAAGGGAAATGGCTGGATCACATGACTGGCTTTAATTTTATGGAGAATCTCCATACTGGTCTCCATGTTGGCTGTACTCACATTTCCACTAATAGCACAGAAGGTTTCAGATATAGTTTCAGACATAAATGTCTCATGGTTTCTCATAATGAGAAAACCACAGCATAAATAAAGAGCAACATAAAAAGAGAGATAAAAGGGAGTAGGGGGATGGTTCTTTCTCCAAGGGGTAGGGATCAAGAGGTGGGTGTGAAGGGAGGGCAAGAGATGTGACAAGAAATTAAGATGTGCTACGTGCAGGCGCCAACTTCACACAAGGGATACAAACACCCAGCACAGCACACATGTGCTCATAAATTTAAAAAAGGAATTCCTTACTTTCTAGAAAGTCCTAGGGAATGGTCACCATTATTCATCAGCATCTTTACCTGAGAAGCCAACTGAGGAGCGGAAAGCGGGAACAGCTTCCTGATAGCCCAGAACCAGAAGTGGGGAGCTGGATCCCACATGGCAAGGCAGCAAGCACGAATGGTGTCGTCTTCCCGAGCCTGAGTGTGGATCTGAACCAAGCATTTCCTGTGAGCCCACTTCCTGACCTCTTGGCTGCGCCTGCTGGGGCCACTCTGAATGGCCACAGCTGCCTCCCTCTACGTCACAATGGCACGACGTCACAACGGCATGACGTCACAACGGCATGACGTCACAACGGCATGACGTCACAATGGCATGACGGGGGGGGGAGGGTCAGGCTCCGTCCTAGAAAAGCTGTAGGCACAGGGATTCTGGCCAGGAGACTTTTGTTCATCTTTCTATGTGTGCTTTTTTAATGTTAAGTGCTGGGGATGAACCCCGGAGTCCCCTAGGCTTAGCCTGGTCTCTACTCCTAAACTCCACCTTGAGGCCCCCAGAAGTGCTGAAAACTTGTCAAAGGATGAGCGGACACCACACATACCCACTTCCACCAGAAGAGGCTCTCTCTGCAAGTGAGCTAGCTGGCTCTGTTGCTCAGGCATTGACGGGTTGCAGCAGAAAAGCAGTAGGTGGAACCCACTGGTGACATGAGCATTCCCTCTGCACCCCAGCTGTGCTGCTTTATTCCACCAAAACTCCCTCAAAGGTGCAGGAGATCCACTGATCACTTCTCAAGATCACTTCCCACATGCTGTGCCATTTCAATTTGGATCTGGAATGTTTCTCCTGATATTCCTGTGCTCAAAGCTTGACCTCCCTCACAGCGGGGTTCAGAACTGCAGGGGGAGGGGAGATGACCGGATCACCATGGATCTGGTCTCATCGATGTGATGATGGATTCATAACCTAATGGGCTACTGGAAGAAGGTGTCAACTTTAGCAGCTGGGTCTAAATGGAGAGTGTACATCACTGGGTATGTGTCCTGGAAGGGCAAATGTCCTACCTGGCTCCTTCCTCTCTTTTATTTTTATTTTAGCCACCCCAAGGAAACCAGCTCGGTTCTACTGCATGATGTCCTGCCTCAAAGCACTGTAGACACACAACCATGGACTGTACCCTCTGAAGCTGTGAACCAAAAGAAACCTTTCCTCTTTTAAGTGTATGCGTCTTCAGGTATTTTGTAACAGTGATGGAAACCTAACAAACGTACCATCTGCTTCCATTTATCACACTGTGGCTGATCTTCCCAGCAGACCTCTGTATATACCCTGTCTCTTACAAACTAGCATTGTTCCAACATCACTTCCCTTTGGCAAATGGGATCTTTCACTGGAAAGTCCTTTGGGCAAAAGGGACAGAGAGGATAGTTCCACGTTTTCATGTCCGTAATCATCAGAACATTATAGAACTCCAGTTCCAAGGCCACTGTTCAAAGCAGAAGTCACAACTCAGGTTTCAGGTGAGTGAAACACTTTCCTGAAGAGCCATGCTACATCCAAAGCGCAGCCCCACAAATGAACACTTACCCTGACGTGAGTTTAAGAACCGCCAGTGGTTATCCTGCTGTGGGCCTTCTGTGATGGGGATCACCATGTGCAGATGTAGAAAGGAAACTCTCAGCAGACGAGAACTGGGGATGGCAGGCTCACCCTGTGAATTCATGCAAAAGGAGAAGAGTTAGATGGTGGAGAACCACATGGAGATGGACTTGTAGGAGAAGAGCTCTTTCTTACACTGGGAGATTCCCCTTCAGAAATTGCTTCTTTCCACTCTACTTAACTCAGATAATTAGGTCTCTGCTGGCTCTCCAAGACCCTGAGAAGCTCTCATAAAGGTTCCACATGAATCAGATTCTCCCACTGTTAAGTGCCATATCATAGGATCATTTTTCCCTTGAGCCCTCCCTCTCTTTTTCATTGGACTTTATTTGCACGATGCCTTGTTTCCTTGTCTTTGTGTCCTGTATCTGCATATATTACCAAGTATATTACGTAGATTTTTTTCCAACCAACCAGCATTTTGGTTTCCCTTTGGCCATGCTGCTGATGGAACCCAGAGCCTCGTGTGCTAAGGGAATACTGATCCCTGGCCTACATCACAGCCTCCGACAGGTTCAAGAAGCACAAGTACAGGCCCACAGCTCATTCGTTACACACATCAAGCTCTCAAACATTTGGGGGACTGGATTACCCCCAGGGCTCCCAGCATGCTAACCAAGTGTTGTACCACTAAGCTTCATGCCAGCTCCATTAGTCACCTTCTGAATAGACTTGGGGTCACCAGTATATATGGCTCGCCTCTTATTTTTGTAAGTCAACACTTTCATGTTCAAACATTTGAAAAAGAATATCTTTGATGCACGCAAAAAACATGAAAATCGAATTTCAATGTCTATGAACAAAGCCCAATTGCACAAAATCATATGTATTTACCTGCATTTGACTCATGGATAGTTTTGGGGCCGCCAAGTCAAAACCAAGAGACTGTGAAACACGTCCTCTGGCCCCCAAAACCCGCAAATTATTTACTTTTTCTCCTTTAGAAAAAGTAAATAATACTTTTCTCCTGTGACATACAGAACCCTACCTACGAATTGAAGGTGAGTTCAGAAGAAAGCCAAGGAGATACGGTTCAACTTACGGAAGATATTTCTGTTTCAGTTGCTGATATTCAGATCACAAACTAGTATCTGTCTTACAAAATTCACTAACATACAAACCTACTATTTGCGTTTTAAAATGTGAACTGTCATCCTACTTGGAAAAAGAGATCCGGGAGAGATCATAGAGTTAGAGAACGTTGACGACTGCATAGATTTTTGTAAACTGAGCTCTTGCTTTATTGAAGCTAAGTTTCAAGGTTCCAGGGATTTGGCTCACTTGCCTATGCGCTTGCCTGAAAGTAACTTTCCAGCAGTAATTTCTGAGGTTCAGTCATTATCCAAGAAATGTTATTCCCCCTCCCCAGAGATGACATTTGAAACTGTTAATTAATCAATCTTGAAGCATGGCTTTTCATGTTAGAGCCTCGTACACGTGGAACCCTGTGCAGTTGACTTTGCTCCTGACCTTCTCTCTGTAGGAATGACAGCACCCCTGGGGGAGGCCACTTCTTTTTTCTCCATCACCCTGAAATGCCTTGGAAAGTCATGGCTGGTACAGGGGCCATGATCTGATCTGAGCCACCAAGTGCTCACATCAAGGCAGGTACAGATCATCGTATTCAATTCTTTTGCCCACGCTTTTGATTGGCAGAGACTGGAAGGTATCAGCTTGACTCTCAGTGTGCTACCCACCACCAAGGAATGAAGAGAAAAAGTCGAAACATATCCCAGTGTGACCACTGTCGAGAGTCTGCATTTACAGAACAGCACAGTGGCAAAATCTGACGTCCCATGCTAGGAGGACATTATTTTTCATCTTTTTTTACTTGTGTACAGGACACAATATATACACTACTTGCATGAAGTTCGTGCATGCATATAACACACCTTAATTTCTTTCTCCATCCCCTTCCCCTTCATCCACCTCTTAATCCCCAACCACTTTGGGAAAGTCCAATTTCCTTTCTTCCTGTTATCCGTGATTTTGCTTTTTAGTTACCTTTTGGGTTTCTCATTACAGAAAATCATGAGACAATTAAGCTGTGTGCCTGATATGTTTCATTTAACACCCTGCTTTCAAGGTGAGTCCATTTGCCTACAAATGACTGATGCTGATCTTTCTTTATGGCAGGATAGGACGCCATTGTGTACAAATACCACGTTTTCTTTATTCACATCTGCTGATAGGCCGTTTCCAAGATCTAGCTAATATGAATTGTGATGCTATTCACTTGGGCATGCAAGCACTACTGTAACTATAACAATATAGTAACTTTAACTGTTTTGGAAAATACTTAGAAGGGGAATGGCCAGGTCAAGTGGAATTTCTTGTCTGAGTATTTTTTTTAGGAAATCTCCATTGTGATCTCCGTGGTTGTACTAATTACATTAATTCATCAACTAATTTACTAATTTTTCCCATAGCCTTGCCAGCATTCGGAAACAGGATTTGAGGAGTCCTAACCCAAGGGCAATATTGCCCCTCGGGGACAAATATTTCTGGTTGTCACCTCTGGGCAAGGTCTAATAGCAGCCTGTGAGTGGGTAGATGTCAGGGATGTTGCTATGATGCACAGGAGTCCTGGGACAGACACAAACCAGCCCAGCCCCCATGCCTGACAATGTACCATCTGCTCCCAAATGCCCATGATATCAAAAGTTAAGAATTCTGCATCAGACCAGTGATCCAATTCATATCCATGAAGAGACCCAGCACACACACTGGGACATGAGGTGGGTAGCAGGTTACTGCCTCTGTTTTATTGGACAATCTCAGATAGCAAACGTTCATGCTGGTTGCTCTGTGACTTTAACACATTATATTGAATTTAATTTAAATAAAAATTAATAACCCTAATTATTGTCTCATCCATGCGACTGAAGAATACCAAAATGTTAACTCTTTTCAAATAAGGAGAAACTTCTATTTGAATGTATTTATGACCTCCAAAATAACCACTTATTGGGTCAAAGGATGTAGCTCAAAGTCACAGCGCCTGCCTGGCAAGCATGCTGCCATGAGTTTGATTCCCAGTACCAAAAAAAATTTAAAAAATAAAAATAACCAGTATTCGGGCCAGGGATGTAGCTCAGCGGCATAGCACCTGCCTGGCAAGTGTGGGGCATGAATTCAATTCCTGGTACCAATAAATAAATAAATAACCACAATTTTCCAATCTCCCTTCCAGAGCCTGTTTGCCTATTATCTTCATTTGCTTGGTCATATTTTTCAGTCTCCGCCATTTTTCTCGCTCCCTTCTCTAAATGAGGTTGCAGGTGTACGTCATCACTGACAAAGATAACGACCTAAGGGTAGTGTTGGAATCTGCTGGCCTTTGTCCAGTATTCCAGGATGCAGAGAGCTCTGAGGATCACACGACAATTTCCATTTTGTTTAACTGGCCAACCAAAGCCAACCTGAGCTGAAATGGGACACGAGTCTGGCCTTCGCCACCAGCTCTACCAACTGTTACATCGGTAGCCATGTTTTCCTTAGCAGCACATCAACGTGCACAGAAGGAACAAGTTGTATCTCTACTGAATTCTCTTTTCATTCTTCCTTACAGAACACAGTCTAGGGAATATTGTCACAGCACCTATATTGTACGGGCCATTTTAAGCCATTGAGAACTGATTCAAATCATACAAGAGGAAGGTGTAAGTAGGTTTAATGTAAACACTATGCCTGGGATTTTGGTATCCAAGATAGGGAGAATCCACAAACCAAACCACAAAGAGAGACATGGAGGGAAGATGGTCTTGTGTTGCTTTTTGTGTGTGTGACTTTAAATATACTTTTGAAAATGTGAAAATGAAAAGGTAAAGACATTCCATGAGTAATTGCAAATTCATGGGCAAGAGCCCAGAATGCATAGTTAGTGACTACAGATGCAGCCAATGGTCCAGGAAGACAGGAAGGAAACAGAAAGACAAGCTGATGAAGTCCAACAGGTTGAACTGTTGTGAAGCAGCCAATAATCCTGGTTTGTCTAAAACTGATGAGTTCCAGTTTCCAAGCTGGGATAGCCCCAGGCATAGGGGGATGAGTTGGACCCCCTAGTTACTCGTGAAAGATTCCAGAATATTCCATGGAAAACCTGCATCCCAGAATATTCCATAGAGAACCGGCATTCCAGAATATTCCATGGAGAACTTGCATTCCAGAATATTCCATGGAGAACCTGCATTCCAGAATATTCCATATAGAATCTGCATGGAGAACATCTCTAGTGGATACTGTGGCATGAGCAAGACCTATGCTGAGTTTAGTTATTGTTCCTTCCACCTCGTTTCTGGTCACATTCATGGCTGGCTGGCACTCAGCCACATCTCTCTCTGGACAGTGTCTTTTGGCCAAGGACAGTAGTCTCTCCCAAAGGGACATTATCATTCCTATTGGGCAGCCTAAAGACAAGGGATGATCATAAAAGTTACATCTCTCTTTCCTCAAGAAGGGACAGAGGGACTTTCCTGGCTTTAGAGTATCCTTGGAAGTGGACTCAGGTCACTGTGGGACCATCAGTGGCAACTGAACTACTGCCTTGGCTCGTTCTTACCCTACTTCTCTATAAGTGCCCATCGTAAGAGTAAATGCCCCAGAAGACCCCTTAAGCATAGTTTTCATTTCAGGATCTGTTCCCCGGGAGTCAATATAAGCTACTATCTGATTGAAAACAAACAAAGAAAAGAGATAGAGGGAAAAAAGAACAACCACAGAAAAACTTAGTTACCAAGATATAGCCTACCTGATCCACATAGCTACTATTCTAGAAAAATAACAAAAATCCAGATTTGGGCAGGGAGAGGGGATTCAAAGGTGGGCTGAAATATCAATAGTGGGTCAAGGCTTCCAGCAAATGCAAGATAGATAGAGTCATCAAGAACTGGGAAAAGCCAACATGCAAGATGCCAGAAATAAGAATTCATTACACCTATCTAACAATGTCCCAAAAATGTAGTCTTATTACTCAAGGATCACTAGAGAAAACCATTTAGTGAGAGATATACACATAGCAAGAAGGTAGGAGATTGGCTTATAGTGGCTGTC